ACAAACAACTCGTCACACTCATCAACATGGTCATGGGCTATGACGATGCATCCGAGTCCTTGCCCGCAGACAGAACTTCGGGGCAGGAAAGCGCATCAACAGTCAGCACTGGTACGCATGGCAACAGCGTTTCGACGAATCAAGGCCCAGCAGTCCCAGTAGCGGATACTTGCGATTTCTGCTCCGCATTTATACCGTTCGCAGACCCCCGATCAGCAACTTGCACCAACGGACATGTGTTCCCTAGATGTGGCCTCACTTTTCTGGCTATCCAGGCGCCCGGCATCACGAAGTACTGTGGTATATGCAGCACACCATTTCTAAGCGACGAGTTCATCATGGCCCAAGAAGACGTGGAACGCAATAATAGCTCCGACGCTGAGGATAACACGGTCATGACTGGCGTGACTAGAAACGGCATGGTATCAGAGGAAAGGGAGGAGAGTAGCGATCCGTTGAACAAGATGGATGAAGAGGGTTCTAGCGACCAAGAAGGAGGCGATCAAGAAAGCAACGATTCCGACGATGAACGCGATGTGTACGAACGAAAGGAAATCCCTGTCACGCTGGCACGGGTACTGTTTCTTGCTTGCGATGCCTGCATATACTGCGGTGGCAAGTTTATTGGTTGACCAACACAGGATAAAGTTCATAATCCGACTCAAAGGTGTCCTGTACCTACGTTCGTAGTCTAGAAGAATCGCCTGCCAGGCTCTCTTTCTTTTACACAAGTGCCCTTTATTCGCTTCCATCATCGGGCCAAATATGACATTACAGTCCAACTAAGCATCTCATGGTTCTGTAACCCGGAAACGTTGAAGACGCTGATGTCTCTTATCGCGGGACGGAAACAGACATAAGGCCCGAATCCGACTTGTACCCACGGTCCGGATGCCTTGGCATCCATCCGCACAAACTACGCAACTCCACTTTTCTCCCGAGGCAAGCCCTGGCACTTTCTAGAAGCCAGGCTAGACCAACCGCACAAGTCTCTCATGCCCCCGCGCGACCAGCCGACCAACCGCACAATGTACGCAAGATAAGTGGGAGCCAATAGCACAAAACGCGTGCACGCGGCTAAACTTACCAACGGAGCTATCGACCACTGAGGCCAAAGCTTACAGTCAACAATGCTACAAACGCAGTGGGATGCGGGGCAAAACTCTTGAAGCACATGAACGGGAGCCGCCGCTGACGGCGTTGCCGCAGGGAAGAGGTGGCATGAAGAGCCCTGCGTTTGGCCGCTTTACCGCACAAGTCGCGCATGCTTTGGGTATATAAGAAGTTGGTTGCTGGCCCTATGCTGCTTACTCCTACATCACAACAATCAAGTCAATCTCATCAAGCCAACTCACTCTTCTACCATACCAAACTTTTTACCACAAACCAACATCCCATCTTCAACCACCGAAATGAAGGGTAACTGCGGCTGTGCTTCTGGTGCCTGCAACTGCGGCTCTTCCTGCACTTGCGATGGCTGCCCCGTACGTTATACCATGTCTTTCTTGCAAACACAATGCTGATTGTTCTCCAGGGCAAATAAGTCATTCAATCCTCGGATTGATGGCGTGCGATGAACACGATACAGTGGGTGCCTTCGCATCACTTTCACTTGCGACCTTCATGCTAATACTTTGCAGATGACCTTACAACTTCTGTACTATATGGAATCTACAAAGAAATGCGTCACGGGTGGGTTTTGAGAGGCGTGCGACGATTAGGGGATGAGGGGAGTTCGGCGGCTCATGAGATACCACACAGGACAATCAATCACTTCATTACAACAACACATGTGCCATATGATACTACAAATCGTGAATTCTTGTCATTATCGCTAATTTCGCAGATACTTTCGAATCATGTAGTCTATCCTGACAAACATCTACGTTCCTACCCACAGCAAACCGTGGCATTTTCCTGCATACGATCTTCGCCCCCGCTGCTCACGTTGAAACTCTCCCACCCAAAGATGAAGTATCCAAGATACGCACCGATGAAGATGCAGATGATAAAGTACCCGTTGTAATACATCGCCAGCAACATGACAAAATAAGCCACAGCAAATGCGCCCATGTGCAATGCCGCTCTAACCGCCTGTTGTAGAATGCTCGGTCGGAACTTGCTCGTCGTCGCAGCCATGGCGCCGCAAGCAGCTGGCGATGTTGTAGCAGCAGGATGCTTAGTCGTGCTGTCGTTTGCGTTCGATGAAGAGGAGGAAAAGGAGCCGCTTGCTGAGGAAGCGAGTGTCTTGGAGTGTTGCTGGACGATGTAGCGATCGTATTCCTTAGCTGCGCGCCGCAGAAACTCGAGGAGGATGACGAGCAGGATTACTCCGATGCAGGAGCCGGCGAACATGGCTTTGGAGCGTACGTGCCAGGACTCTGCGATGAAACATGTGTCTATAACGTTCCAATTCCACAGCATCTGCGGGACGGGTTGTTAGCTGAGACTTCCTTTCTCCTCACTGCGAGAGAAGATGGGATAGAACTTACACTAATTTTGCATCCGCCCATCATATCGGCCATATCATCCATGCCACCCATTCCGCCTGACGAAGTAGCCATTGGCGCCATGCCGGTAGCAGTCGACGCCATAGACATGCCCGACATAGCCATACCGGTGCTCGTCGGAGCCATCGACATTTCCATATCCATAGACATGATTGCTTGTACCTGCATAGAAAGGTAGTGAGAAAGAAGTCCAAAGTTATATCGCAGCGACTGCAATCAAAGCACGGCCTACCAAAAATTTGTCGGAAACGAAACAGCGCAAGTGAATGAATATGAGTGGTGTGAGAAGTAGGGTTGAGCAAGTTATGAGCAGATTTTCCCCTGCGTGACCTTAAATGGAAGCGGCAACCACCCCAAATGATTCACACTTCAAACGCGGAGATTTTGACGAACAAAGAAGTCTGAAACTGAAGTGAAGTCTGCCACTAAGGATTTTTCCGGAGACTGAACGTGGAATCGCGGCGTTTATATCGCTTTCTTGTGGTGCAAGCTCCTACCTAGGGAGTGCCAGGCCCGGAACCCTTCTCGCACCCGTTCCCACGCGGTACCCGAAGTTCTGCAGACGGCGCCACTGCATGCCAGTATTGGTTAAAGTCGGCCGATTGTTATCTCAGCCTACCATGTCACCAGACAGATCGGTAACATTGAAGAGACCTGCTAGCCCATGTTTTGATAGTCGATGAGACTCCAGGAGAGGGCGGCCTGCAGAGTGCTATGCCGGAACAGGTTTAGACGGTAAGCGAGGTGAGAAGGTTTCCAAGGTTTTGAGCAGATTTCGCGCCCTCATCCGCATCCTGCGCAATCATGACAAGACGATACTGCGCGGCAGGTGTTGAGGCGCGGAATAATGTTGGATGGCATGCAGGTCGTGGTTGTTTGTTGGTGATGCGAGGGGAACGGGCCGCTTATGTTGCATGTGTTGGGAGTGCAGCTTACAGGCAGAGCGCTTTTTAGCCAACGTGCGATAGATGAATTGTTATTGCAAGCGCAGTGGGAAGCCGTGCAGTCGTGTCCCGGGGTTTTGGTTGCGAGACTCGAGAGGCGAATCAAAGCAGGGTCTAGGTAGGCTGGATGAACATGCGATGCTGCATGTTGGATGCAATGACAGATCGATCGTTGAACAGAACGTGGGTATACGCGTCGCTGTAACAATATCGTGAGTTTCCCAACATTGCGATATGCTTGTCTTTGGGACATCGGTTGGAGGGCGACGATGAACTTGGGCCAATGGGCTTACGTGCATCGCGCGGCGTTGAAGTAGTTGGCTGGGTAAACATGCGCTGACGGTGTTGGTACAACAGTATATCAGCCGATGACGTTTACAGGTATACTCTTGCTGCGATTTGTTGCGTTTTCCGCACGACGTATATGCTCAACCCGATGCAATGTCATATCAAAGCCAGCAGTGACTCCCGATGGGTACGGATAGGTGGTAAACTTGGTCAGCCCTCGACTCATCACACTGACGACGTTCATGTCGTGTCCGGGTTCGCTGCCACGATCGTCGTCCAAGCGGACTCGCCCGCCTTCACTCTGCCTCATGGACCACAACAATGTGCTGAGGATATGCGTGAGTACGATGCAAGAGCCGGGTACTTTGGCGTATGAACGCAGGCGCCCTAAAGTTGTGGCCGGATCGAGCGAAGCGGAGAGACAAATGGCAAGAGCTTGCGCCACCTGTTGTTCTAAGTCTATTGACCGAGATGAATGCCCTAACGCCTGAGAGGATGTAAATCGTTGGTGGAGGCTGTGACTGTTTCATCCCACCCTTTGCCATCGCCGGCAATGACGAACATCTTCATGCGTAGAATAGGGTAGCCGCCACATCTGCGCACACCACGAAATGCAGCATGACGAGCCGGATGCAGACGCAATGAAGATGGCTTCACCTAGAACTTCTAGCAAGCGTTAGCCGTTGCATGCATGATCACACGTATAAGAAATGGCATGTGTACCTAGGTATTGCTAGAATTTATGTCGGGTCATTGCGACGAGTCGTGGCGTCGGGTCATTGTGTCGGACGATTTCCAACACCAACAATGACGCGCACCTAGCACGATCCGCGACTGGAAAGCCCTGAGGCTAGAACAGCGGGGTGCATGACGATGAGGATGCGGATGCGGCGTGGGGTGCGGCTCAGCAATCCTCTAGTGGGAAACCTGACCGCAGCGGAGACGACAATACTGCCTTTAAGACAGGGCGCCTTCTCATGGGCAGTGTACGAAGCAGGGCTATGCTGCGACCTGTCAACCGCCACGTAACGGTGGTCAAGACAAGGGTTTGTACTTTAATGTCCAGTGCTGCTCCTAATCGGCACATAGTACGCTCCGAGGTTTGGGCAATCTAGGTTTGACGTCGCCGTACATATCCGTCTTGTCTGTTCTCTTGGGTTCCAAGAACGCTCCTCATCGAGCATTAATTCGCATCGTATTGTTTTCTTCTCTTCTTTTGCTATGCGTTCTCCAATCGACTTCGTGAAGGATCGCCATAATGGCCGGTATCGAGAGAGCATCGACAGCGATGACTACCCTTTAGCACAACCCAGGAGGGAAACTGAGCAACCACCAACGAATGGTCCGACTGCTCTTCCGTCGCTGCCAGAACCATACTCGGCTTTTTCGGTGAACCGCAGGAGGTTCATTCTAGGCGTTGTTACAGCGGCGGGCTTCTTTGGCCCACTATGCGGAGCTGTTTACTTGCCTTCTCTGAAGATCTTCGAGAAGATCTTTAATGCATCGGAGACTGCGGTAAACGGTACAGTCTCAATGTATATGATGGTGTTCGCCATTGCCGTAAGTCATCCGTACCGGCATCTCGAAATGCAAAACTAAGATTGCGTAGCCTCTCTTCGGTGCTGCTGCCTCAGACTTAGGCGGAAGGAAAACAGTATACATGGTCGGACTCGGCAGTTTCCTCGTCGCGAACACCCTACTTGCTGTGCTGCCACCACATATCGCGGAGCTGTACATTCTCCGTGTCTTCCAGGCATTCGGATCCTGTATCGTCTTCTCCGTCGGAGCCGGTACCGTTGCTGATATCACTGAGCCTGCCAAACGTGGAACCGCTTTAGCATGGTTTTTGATGGGACCTCAGCTTGGTCCTGTCCTTGGTCCGCTCATTGGTGGTGCACTCGCGGACGAGAGTAGATGGCGATGGATATTCGGTTTCCTCTCGATCGCGAGTTTTCCGGTATATCTCCTCATCGTCTTCTGTACGCCAGAGACATTGCGATCGCTGGTAGGCAACGGCGCACCTGTCGCAAACCAGCCTTGGTTTACGATACCCAAGTTCCGGACACAGCCTTGTACAGACTCGAGAGCTCCGAAAGCTCCCCGTCCAACGCCCCGAAAGTTCCTGCATCTTCTTAAATACCCTCCACATTTGATCGTTTCCTTCAACGGAGCTTTCCAATTTGCTGGACTGTATGCCATTTTCATCTCGTTTGCCACCATTTGGCAGGAGGGCTACGGTTGGACGGCAGCAGAGACTGGGTATGCCTATATATGTCCTGGTATTGCGATGTTCGTCGCTTCGATGGTCGTCGGTCGACTTTCCGACTGGATGCGAAAGAGGGCTCTTGCGAAGAGCTCCACTGGCAAGGTTGCACCTGAGCGAAGAATTACCATCCAGATCTTTGGCTTCGTCATCGCTGCGGCTGGTAAGATTATGTTCGGCTGGTTTGCGCTCGCTCACTTTCACCCCGCCGCGGTCCTCTTCTGTACGGCTCTGGCTGCAATCGGAATGTCTATCATCTTCGTCACTAGTACATCCTTCCAGACTGAGTGCGACCCTGGCCAGGCGGCCAGTCTGGTGGCTTTGGCAGGATTCATGCGCAACATGGCTGCCGCGATCTCCTCACTGATCATGGCCAGCATTTTGGATGCAATGGGTTGGGGTTGGGCGTTCACCGGTCTGGGAATCATAGATCTCCTCTGCATACCAGGGATTATATTGATCATCTTCCGAGGCCCGAAGTTTCGACAGGAGTTGGAACGTGGACAGCAGCCAAAGAAATAAGTGGCTGTGTGGAAGACCTTGCGAGGTCTAGATACAGAATCTTGCTGCTCATTCTGACAGCGATGAGCGATAATCTGTCTTTAAGCATAGCGCGGCGTTAGTGAACATCAGACTTTGTATATTAGCATGCTACCGAAGGGTGCGGAATTGGAATTCATGCCGAGTCAAATGGCAAGAACGACCGCGTTAGTTCTGCAACCGCGTGATCTACAAGTCGACAGCAGGAGACCCAGAAGATTCCGATTAGCATTCCAATGAAGACCAAGTCGTGAGTAGCGTGGTGTTGTCGCATGCGCTGTCAGGGGGAGAAAGTAGTCCTACGTAGATGTGATGGAAGAGATCGATGTTCTAGAATAACCTCGGAAGCGGCTGGAAGGGCGAGTTTGGCCGATCATCGTAACTTCGACATCCACCACCAATTTGTCAGCAGCACTCGCCATCCATGTAGGTATAAGAGCAAGCAGTCTCGCAGCGATGACATCACTTCATCAGCGAAATCTACCGCGCACAAATTCATCGTGGCGTTCAAAGCAAGTTTACGCAAAATGACCAACTTCAAGGTTGACATTGTTAGCGACACCGTATGCCGTAAGTCCTCATGAACAACGCATAGCATACTATGTATCCGATACTAATCAAATCACAGCATGGTGCTACGTAGGAAAAAAGCGCTTGGAAAGGGGAATCGCAGCCTACATGGAGAAACACCCGGACTCCAGTGATACCTTTCAAACCAGCTGGTACCCATTCTATTTGAACCCGGATGCGCCAAAGAGTGCCGACAAGCAACAATTGTACGAATCTAAATTCGGCAAAGAACGCACAGCAATGATGCAAGAGCGACTCTCGCAGATTGGCAAAGACGAGGGAATCAACTTCAAGTACGGCGGCAAGACAGGAAACACACGCGATTCGCACCGACTTGTGCAACTTGGAAAAACCAAGGGCCCGCAGATGCAGACTCGCGTGATCGAGGAGCTCTTCGCTGCGTACTTTGAGAATGAGAAGGACATTACCACTCAAGAGATCCTTACTGAGGCAGGAATCAAGGCAGGACTTGATGAGAAAGAGATCAAGGATTGGCTGGAGTCAGGCAAAGGAGGACCTGAAGTTGACAAGGAAGTCCAGCAGGCGCGCCGACAACAGATTACAGGCGTTCCCAACTTTACCATTAACGATCAGTTTGAGATCGGAGGTGCGCAGGAACCGGAGGCTTTTGTTCAGTTATTCGAGAGATTGAAGAGGCAAGAGGGCAGCGGTTAGGTGGTTCGATGTACAAGAGCTATCTTAGCGAATCTGACCTAGCCGCGAACGTAACACTGCTACGTGTTTCTGTTTTCAGCATACAATATCGTGTTGACAAGTTCTGTTGTTTAATGTGTCTTCTGTCGACGTGTAGGTCGTTTGAAGAAGGGATTCCAGTGTTGGTGTCGAGTTCACCGTATCGCTGGTGATGACCAAATCGTGTGGACATGCCGCTAGTCTGCACCTCGGCAACTGTACCTCAACATTGTTACGCGCATTCTCCGTCACGCTTCTATGACATCTCGACGCGGTGATTGCGAGCGCTGAAGCTACCAGCCTCATTCCTCATGGTGCGCAGGTAGTACAACATGTAAGCACCGATGGAGGTGCTACGTGGGTGGCTGTGGCGTTAGCGCCAGTGCCATCGATCTGGGCATCTGCAGGGTTCACGACCAACAATCACCAAGACGCGCTTGGACGGCGCATCTCTCACAGCTGCTTCAATCGCCATGTCCTAGAATCCGATTAGAGTACACGGTCTACGACCTCTCCGATGGCTAACGATGCTCTGCAAACCCCGGCTGAGCGCCGCTTCCTGCGGCCCAGCGTAAGTCGCGTCTTTGTAGACCGTGTAGGCGATGCGCTGACCATATCCTATAGCTACGCAGCGCGACTATGGTACAGCCCAAAACTGGCGAGCGCATCAAGAAATCCTTCACCCTACGAAGATCCCAACACCGACCGACCGAATCCTCCGAGTTCCTACTTGCGCCCGGCCAATACGATGCTGAGAGACACCGGGAGATGGGGAGAGTCGAGTTTGCAAAGGTGGTGCTTACGAACAAATGTCGACAAGGCTACGCGTATGCGACGAGTCCTATTGGAATTGGCATCATGAAGTGCTCATTGGCCTATGTCCTCGGATCGTTGGCGACGTTCGTACCAGCAATCGCAGGATTACTGGGCAAGAACGATGGAAAGCACATAGTCGCGACTATCACTGTGTATTTCCACCCAGCTCGCTCGGCCGGCAGCATGCTGGAGGCTGTCATCTTGGCTTTCGCTGCCTTTCTCTATGCCGCCTTCGTATCGTTCTCTAGCATGGCCGTGTCCGCATACTTTGGAAACCAAGATCTGCTAGTCCTTGGGCATGTGATAGTGCTCATCGTATTCTGCGGAGGAGGTCTAGGGCTTGTTGGATGGACAAAACAGAAGCTTGGAAATCCACTGGTCAACGTGGCTTGCTCACTGACATCGCTAGCTCTCATCACGATCCTGACCAAGGAAGGAGCTGTTCAGGCAGCCAAGTTCTCCTACGTCAAAGTCTGGCAGGTTCTGAAGATGATAATAATGGGCTGTTCCGCCTCAGCACTCGTATCGCTCCTCGTACAACCAAAGTCGGCGCGCAACGAATTCCGCGATACGTTCATCCAGTCGACAGATGCTATGGCAGAAATGCTCAACAACATCACCCTTAGCTTCCTCTCCGGTGCTGAATCAGACCTCAAGAGCGAATCATATGTCGAAGCATCGAACAAGAGCCAGTCAACGTTCAAAACACTTGTAAAGAACCTGGGAGAAGCCAAGTTTGAGCACTACGCGCTGGGTACTGAGGAAGAGTACAGGATTCACGCGAAACTGGTCAAATGTCTAGAAAAGCTCATGCAGAGCTGTGGTGGATTGCGGAGCGCTGCGGAAACCCAATTTACACTGTTGGCGCAATCGGAGACCGAGCCCAGCGCCAGCGTCACATCCCAACGATCAATACCCGCTAATGGAACGGTAAACTCGTCGATATTCTCGGACCATACGATGTCCTTCAGTCCTCCGCAAATGTCTCCCAGTCTCAGCCATACCGAGAGGCGAACCAGCATCCTTGCATCTATCGACGAGTTACCGGAAAGTTCCCAAGCATCTGCGTATCCCTCAGCAGCTGGATCCGACGACGAGTCCACTCCGACCAAGAAGAAGTCTGACCAAGTTGCGAACCTTTTGAAATCAGACCTTACGCCTGCTGACATGTTCTCGGTGTTCATTGCTAGCTTGGGACCACCAATGGTACGTCTAAGAGTCGCTGTGTGCGAATTGTGCTAACACCAGTAGAAATCCTTAGCATACACACTACGCGAGGTCCTTTCTGAATTGCCTTTTGGACCTGGACCCGAGTACAACATGGCTATCAACGAGCATTTTCGCCACAGTCTAGTCGATGCCAAGGCCCTCTTCTCAGATGCACGTCGGGAAGCACTCTCGGCTGTCTACAAGAACAAGATACCAACGAGGACCAGCTCTGCAGCGATTGCAGCAGACTTTGAGGAGGTTGCCGCAAGCTGTGGATACTTTAGTTCGTCGCTTCTAGACTTCGCTGAAGACATGGTGTCGTTCCTTGACATCCTCGAAGAGCTGAAAGCTAATGTCAATCGCTACCCGCGGCAAAGGACCTACACCTGGCTGAAATTCTGGCAACGTGGGCGCAAGAAGGATAAGGCGGGAGACAGCCCCGAGGAGGCCTATCTTGTTGATGAGACAGACGCCCACACACCAGGAGGCTCGCGTGAGATCCATAACCCCATCTACCGGAAGTCGACCCGTGGAGACCCGTACAAGCCAGAAAACGAGCAGCCACTTTCATACCGCATCTGGACGTCATTGGCCGTCTTTAGAAGAGACGACCTCAAATACGCCGTCAAGGTTGGCATTGGCGCAGTACTCTACGCCATGTGGTCCTTCATTCAGTCCACTCGAGGATTCTATGGTCATTGGCGTGGCGAGTGGGGCTTGTTGTCGTACATGTTGGTGTGCTCGATGACCATCGGTGCCTCCAATACTACTGGCTTCCAACGTTTCGCCGGTACATGTCTCGGAGCTATATTGGCAATCGCCGCATGGATCGCCGCTGACGAGCATGCCTTTGTGTTGGGCTTCTTCGGCTGGGTTATCTCCCTGTTCTGCTTCTACATCATCGTTGGAAAGGGCAAGGGACCTATGGGTCGCTTCATCTTACTGACCTACAATCTCTCTGCACTCTACGCATACTCGCTCTCCGTCAAGGACGATGATGACGACGACGATGAGGGTGGCATCTCACCCGAGATCTGGGAGATTGTGCTCCACCGTGTGGTCGCAGTGATGGTTGGATGCATATGGGGTATTATAGTGACGAGAGTCATCTGGCCTATTTCTGCGCGCCGCAAAGTCAAGAAGGGCACGTCTCTATTGTGGCTAAAGATGGGGTTGATCTGGAAACGTGGGCCTCTGAAGACCCTGCTCGAAGCCAACGAACGCACAAGCCGGACGTACACGTACATGTCCGAAGGCGAAGAGCTGGAACTCCGTCGGTACCTTTCTCATCTGGACACGCTGCGTGCATCAGCCGCCGCAGAGTTCGAGCTGAAGGGCCCGTTCCCGGACAAGAGCTTCAAAGTCATTCTGGGCGCGACCAGCCGTATCTTGGATAGTTTCCATGCTATGAATGTCGTCATCCTCAAAGATGTGAAGGCCTCCGAGGGCGAGAAGGAGGTCTTGCGGTATACCAAGAAAGAGTGGACAGATCTGAGTTGGCGCATCAGTCATCTCTTCTCTGGTGAGTCATACCAACCAAGCTTCGTCGAGAGCACCGGCTAACAGTACACAGTCATGGCATCTTCCATGAAACTAGCATACCCGCTCAACGACGTCCTGCCCAATATCGAACACACGCGAGATCGACTGCTAGCAAAGGTCTTTGAGTTCCGACAGAGCGGGCTGGGCAAAGTCATTGCCAACGATGAAGATTACGAGTTGCTGTACGCGTACGCGTTGGTGACTGGGCAGCTCGCGCATGATCTCAGCATCATTGGACAGGAGATTGAGAAGCTGTACGGTGTGTTGAGTGAGGAGGACTTGAAGTTACAGTAGATATGCAATGCACATAAACGCTGCTCCTCGCGATCGGTTTACGTTCTCTGTTTGAAACGGCATACGCTTCTTGACTTGTGTGATGGGTGTGGTGATTGCCACCCTTAGTCTCCGCGGTAATAACGCAGGTGCAGTAGCTCGCTTGTGATGATCCTAAATGAGTCACGATGATAGATGCGGCACACCTCGCAGCACGATGGCCTAGGTGTCGATGATCTTAATGCGTCATCCATCGTCGATGCCAATATCGCTACATGCGCGTTGTCGCGTGATGGACGTCTCAAGCTCACCAAGAAATGTCCGACGGTGAGCTGCAACCCCATCGGTCTAATGATAGAAATAAGCTTTGGGGCCATCTGTCGTTGACTCACGTTGTGATTGTGCCTAATTTACGCATCTAGCGGTCGCGAAACATTGCCACACAGCTGATCTTGGTAACGTAGACTTTGGCTTTGAACTTCGCGGAAATGAGAGCGATGGTCCTTTCGTGTAGTTAGACGGAAATCTTACACGCGACAACTTGTACTTTCCATAATGCATTAACGGTAGCTTTTGTTTTGGAAGGTGCATTGAAGTTGTTGTTGGTGTCTGGGGTCGGGGTCGTAAAACGACTAGTGGCCGGCACGTGACGAGCTTGGCGCTCTAAGCGATCACGCGCACCTGCCCAGGTCGGATCCTCAATATTCTGCGAACGTCTTGCCGCGACTCTCGATACTAACCTCCAGGACAACCAACCCGTCAAAATGTAAGGAATACCGATTGCATACCCTCGGCAGTGCTTCGAAGAGCGCTTCCGCACCCGCAACCACATCGCCGACTCGCAGTGGTGCTCAACAGGCGCTCACGACGTGGCGAACCCCTCTTTTCACGATAGCACTTTTCATCGCCCACGGCCGTACAATTGATCAAAATGCTGACCGATTGTGCCTCACAGGGTCAACCTCCGCACTCAGAAGCGCCTCGCGGCCTCCGTGGTCGGTTGCGGAAAGCGCAAGATCTGGCTCGACCCCAACGAGACCAGCGAAATCGCCAACGCCAACTCCCGCCAGACCGTCCGCAAGCTCGTCCAGGATGGCCTCATCATCCGCAAGCCCGTCACCATGCACTCGCGTGCCCGCGCCCGGGAGCTGACCGCCGCTCGACGAATTGGCCGACACCGTGGTTTCGGTAAGAGGAAGGGTACCAAGGACGCTCGTATGCCAAGGTACGCAATCACGATGCCACTCCCGCAATGGACTCGACAGAGATCCATTGTTGGGAGTGAAGGATGAAGGAGACTGTTTGCTGATGCGGATGTCTATAGCCAAATCGTCTGGATGCGCCGTCTCCGTGTCCTCCGCCGTCTCCTCGTCAAGTACCGTGCCGCCGGAAAGATCGACAAGCACCTCTACCACGAGCTCTACCACCTGTCCAAGGGTAACACCTTCAAGCACAAGCGTGCTCTCGTTGAACACGTACGTCCGCCATGACATCATGACTATGTCAAACCCCGCTCCATGCTCGGTTACTGACATGCATCGTAGATCCACAAGGCCAAGGCTGAGAAGGCCCGCGAGAGGGCTATCCAGGAAGAGATGGACGCCAAGCGCGCGAAGACCAAGGCGGCGAGGGAGAGGAGGCAGGAGCGTGTCCAGCAGAAGCGTCAAGCTCAGTTTGGCGACGATGCGGAGTAAACACGGGATATCATGATGAACACCTGGCGTGGGTCTTTTCAAGGTTAAAGGAGGGCGTCAATCTCCTTTTTATCTGGGCATATGCGGTCATGTTTCATGTTACGTCTGTGAAGGACTCTTCTCTCCATGCATACTCGACCGACAAGGCTGCCCTCACTCTGATCACCGATGCTATGAGTGTACCAAAAAGGATATGCGCATCGGAATTAGAAACCAGTAGTCAAACTTGGAGTTGGTCTGCTTTCATGCATTGTCTGTGGATATGATTGCGTGATGCTTGCTTGAATGTTTCTCATTCGCATTCCTGAAAGTACCCCGGATTACCCAATTGCCATGACACTGACGCCATACACCCTGTTACCTGCTTAGGGTATCAAATAACCAAAGCGCCTTATCCAAACACCTCGTGCTGAGCCAACCTTGGTCGCATGACTGTGCCTTTAGATCTAGGTTTCATTAGTACATGTTCTCACCCATCGCATGTTATTACTCACCAACTTGAGTGCAGCCCTATGCACGTTCCTCGTAAAGTTGAGCATAGCCTTCGCCTTGTTGTTCCCCCTCTGCAGCCGCCTGTAACCCTCCTGCACATGACTCGGCTGGACGGGCTCCCTCGCCTCCTCTGGGGGATCAAACAGACCACGCTCTCTCTTCCTCTTGAGCCTATTCTGCTCACCACCATGATTCTTCTTGTAAAGATCTTCCGCATCCTTGACCTTGAGCGCCTCCTCCGTGAGCGTCTGCACAATCTCAAACGTCAAGAAACCGAGGATATCGATGATGTCGTCAGAGGGTTTAGAATCAGTAATGAGGCCGAACCCAGCCCATTCTTTGAAACGCTTGCCTTTGCGGTAGGTGAAGGATGCTTGGCGGCAGTCGGACCAATGGACGTATTCCTCCCTCGTCATGTCCTTGGTACGTTCGTCGGCGTTCTTGAGGCGTTGCAGGGTAGCGTAGTTCATCTCCTCTTCCTCCTCGTCTTCGACATCGTCTTTCTGCGGTGGAAACTCAGTGAAGAAGGAATGCACGTCCCAGACTAGATCAACTTTTGCGCGCTTGGCTTTTTTCGAGGCGTCGACGGGGGCGGCGCCGGGGCCTCCTGCTCCTACCACGCCGGCGGCTATATCTGCATCTCCGGCTCCGACGTCTGCGCCGCCATCGCCGCCTTTGTCGTCTGAGTCTTTGACGGAGCGTCGCACGTCTTTCCATTGCAGGAAGTGACGAAGGCGCGAGATTTTGGCGCGGTCGTGCCGGATTAGCATGAAGAGGTCGTCTGTGGATATGGATTTGCTGCCGCGGCGTGTGGCTAGGGCTGTGCATTCTCGTAGCATGTGCTGGACTTGGTCTTGGACGATTGATTCGATCAGCGTGGTTGTTTCGGGGGAGGGTTCGCCGGTTTCGCCGGAGACGAACATCATCTGTGGGATCGTTAGATTCAGGCCGATTTCGGAGTCAATTTCGAATGGGAGCAGAGCTTCTGGAGATTCGGGCCGAGACATTGGGGGCGAAGAAAGTGCAGGGGAGGATGTAGAAGAGGCCATGGTGGTGGCCTCTTGCAACATGGTTGGGGGCAAGTGTGTGAGTCAAGGAAATGTGTGGGTGGTACAAGTGCTGGGGGCATCTTGCGGGTGAGCCTTTTCAGGAACTCGCTTGTATCTTTGCAAGACGGGATGGGGTGGGAGATGAGATGATTGTAGGTGAAGTAGAGTACGGGCCATGTTGGCTGTCCGTCTGTAACGTGACTGCGAATGGAAAAGAGCCATAACACATATACGATGTATGAACGTTGGCGTGATGTAGAAGGAATTTCCAGGGTCTTCAAACGACTTGATCGAAAGGTGAAATTGTGTTGATGCTTGGGAAGGCGCGCGTAACAGCGTCCTTCATGTATACAGGGAAGGATGTGAAAGTCGATGATGCTACAGGCAGCGTATTTTAACCGAAACTTTCAAAATTCCATCTCTTTCTTTTTTGGAGTGTTAAAGAAAAATCACGAGAAGACCACAAGAAGAAGATGCAATTGACTAACCTGTTGGATCTCCGTCCGATACTTGGCCATCTTATCCTTGTCCGACATGGTGTCTTACTCCGTCGCCCAAAGGCTCCTATAATCATACAAAGCGCGTCGCCAACTTCTTACAGCTATGCAAAACAGAAAGTCGAACACAAGAGGCGTGGGGCGCGGCGAGGAATGTGAATGGAGTCCGGGGATGGGACGCGGTTTGCGGTCTACTAGCGCGATTTCAGGCGATGCCTGATGCGACAGCACGGGTTGGCCCGGGCACGCTCAGCCCTACCACATGCAAATCATCAGCCCCGCCCAACTTTTTGTCAATTTGGCGACCAACCCCACCACGACTTTCACCCCACGCGTCACCACTGCCCATCATGCTGTATCTCGTCGGTCTCGGCTTGGCGGACGAAAAGGACATCACTGTCAAGGGCTTGGATATCGTGAAGAAGGCGGAGCGCGTCTACCTCGAGGCGTACACGGCGGTGCTGCTGGTGGAGAAGGATGTGCTTGTGAGTCGAAGATGCGATTGACCGGTGAGGCACTGGGAAACTAATTATCACGGCAGTAGGAAGCTTTCTATGGCCGCGAAGTCATCATAGCCGACCGCGAAATGGTCGAGTCGTCCAGCGACGATATCCTCAAAGATGCTGATAAAGTCGACGTCGCATTCCTCGTCGTAGGCGATCCATTCGGGTATGTTCCCTTGCGAATACATACTATGCCTATCTAACACCCAACAGAGCGACCACACACACCGACCTCGTCCTCCGCGCCCGCGAACTCTCTATCCCCACCCGCTCCATCCCCAACGCCAGCATCCTGACCTCGATCGGCACGACCGGCCTGCAACTCTACAACTTTGGGCAAACAGTCTCCATGGTCTTCTTCCTTGACAACTGGAAGCCCGCTTCCTTCTACGACCGCATCAAGGAGAACGTCTCCATCGGCCTACACACGCTCGTCCTCCTCGACATCAAGGTCAAGGAGCAGAGTCTGGAGAACATGGCGCGCGGACGCAAGATCTACGAGCCGCCGCGCTACATGACTGTTGCGCAGTGCGCGCAGCAGATGCTGGAGATTGAAGAGGATGTCAAGCAGGAGGGTGCTTACACCAAGGAGAGTCTGGCTGTGGGTGTTGCGCGGGTTGGTGCTGAGGATGAGAAGATCGTCGCTGGAACATTGGCACAGCTGTGTGAGGCGGATCTGGGGAAGCCGCTGCACAGTCTGGTGCTACTGGGTCGACGGACACACGACCTTGAGAGGGACTTCCTCGAGGAGTTCGCTGTGGATAAGGAGAAGTTCAGGGAGGTCTGGAAGAGAGACTACGAGGGCAAGCAATGAGCTGGCATGTAGCAGCACGCGAAATCGCTTAGATGCGGCTCTTGTTCTGATGAATCACCACAATCCAATGTCAATATGCCATACTGAGACTGACAGACGAAGCTGGGCATTGCGTGCGTAGCCATAGTTGCCTCTAATCGATCCTGCATTCTGTTCATGTCTGCGCTGTTCGCTCGCGAATGCTGACCACATGTCGTATACATGTGTTATCCTGTTTCTTTTCCGTCGTTCCAGTTCTCCATGTATTCGACATGGTATCGTCCTTGCATCTATATCCCATCTTCGAAGACTTTCTTCATCGTTACGATGCACTTTTCCAACTCCTGCTCTTGTAAAGGGTGAAGGGCTAAGCAGAGCCTGAACCGATGCTCCGGAAATGGCTCGTGTGAAGGGAACATTTTGATACTTCGAGACCACTTCCAGTCTCCTTGTACGACTATTTTTGGGTCTACATGCGCGAGCGCCGTTGTTCTTAATAGTATGTTCCGCCACCATCCAACATCGCTCATCTTACTGATAAGAGTCCTATCTTTACGGGCATGAACCGCAAGTGCCACGATCTTGCGTATGATCCAACAGCTACAAGTATGTAAACTCTTCTTCTCCATAAGCGAAGGCCAGATCATCCGGATGGTAAAGGCGTGATATTCTTCGCAAATACGAGCGATCAAACGCCAACATTTGTCTGCAATGAACTCTCGTACAAGGAGGGGACGGTGTTCCCATACGGTGATCTCTCGGAGACAACTATGCAGGGCCATGGGAACATCTTCGAGGAAGTTCAATAGGTCAAGTGGACCGCATGCAAACAGTATGTCATTGCGACATATAACGATGTTCTTCGTCTCTTCTTTCAGTTGCCGGCAAACATGTTTAAGCTGGTTGACCTCCCTGGCGGTCTCGAGGCTGTTGTCGAGCTGTTTTGCATACCAATCTTGCTCGCGTTCCTTTTTGGAAGGTCTCTTTTCCATGACAGGGACCGCGTAGAAGCGGAATATTCCGGAGTTGCTGGATGGTTCTTCGCGACATACCACACCTCTCGGGTTCGTGAGAGTGTTTTCGTAGACTATATTTCTGAGCTCAGCAGGGAGTTGGAAGAAATGGCAAGTGCCATCCGGGGAGGGTTGGCTTGGATCCATGATGTCTTTGCGGCGGTTCGGAGTGGTGGGGTTTTGATTGCGTTGGGTCGAGAAGTCGATCTTTAGGGACGTGGGGATATTGAGATGGTAGATAGTAGATGGTAGATGGTAGATAGTAGATAGTAGATAGTAGATGGTAGATAGTAGATGGTAGATAGTAGATGGTAGATGGTAGATGGTAGATAGTAGATGGTAGATAGTAGATGGTGCGATGTCTTTGGACGAGTGTACTGTATTTTCATATCGCCCTGCACATTACCAATATGGTTGAGTGGCCGTCCTTCGGTTGCCGTCTATTGGTACCTTACTGCGTTAGTGGATCCAGATAGGGATGAACCACCCACAACTTCTGCATTTTAAATGTTATCTGTCAGAGAATAGATCTTTGGGTCAGAAAATCTGCTCCTTTCCAACAACAGACAGTGGTGATCTTTCATTTATGTTCCCTTGCAATGCTGATTGCGGAACGAATGTAGCCATAAGTACATCGTACAAGACGTCGCCCGTCGAAATGCACCGGTGGTGTCCTGTTCAGGTGTGATGCCTAGATTTTGGGGGACGAAATAATAGTTGGAGAGTTCGGATAGTATTAGTAGGCTAGAATGTTGATCGCAGCGCTACTGCAGCTCTTCGCCTAATACTAAGCGACATCCATGGATAGAGGTTTAGAAGTGTCTCTCCACGAACATCTTTTGGACACTGCGTGATGTGACGTGCGAGATTGATGCAGTTGGTAGCTGCCTGGGCATTTGCCTGGGTGGAGGTAGAAGTTGCGAGGTCAAGCCCTTGAGAGGTAAGTGCGTCTGACGTCACACCACAGTCATTCATTGGCCGAGGCAACCACAAAGCATCACGATGATCTGTACAATCTGATCGGCCCGCTTCTATTCTTCCGCTTGCAGCAGTCTTTACAAAGATTCAACCATTCAGGACTAGCGCACTGACGATGTCCAAACCTACCGACGCCATAGTAGATTCCGGCTCGCCCGGTAAGCGGCTTCTTCAGGATGTCATCAATACGCCCTCCACTCGCACGCCTTTACCTTTGGATAGAAATAGCGGTACTGAATTATATCGACAACACAGTCGCAAGGAAGAGAACATGCAGAATCCAAAGATGAAGAGGGTCGCATCAAGACCGCAGACCTCCAGCTCAAGACGCTCGGCAAATGGCTACATGCCCATAGAAGACTATGGGCTGATTGGAAATATGAGAACATGCGCCATGGTCGCAACAGACGGAGGAATCGGTATGTAAATTCTGCGAACCGTATGTTACCCACATACTGACTTTGTACGCCTACTCCAGATTACATGTGTTGGCCCTACTTCGACTCCCCGTCTGTCTTCTGTCGCATTCTGGACAAGGAAAAGGGCGGGCACTTCAGCATAGGGCCCACCGGCGACGATACATGTACGACTAAACAGCAGTATCTACCTGCGAGCAATATTCTCCAAACACGCTACCTGAAGGAGGAGGGGGTCATGAACGTCGTGGACTTCTTTCCAAGACCGAATGACAAGAACTGGGACGAAAAGTATCATGCGAACGTACTCGCGAGCAACCATACAGGAAGCGTACCAGAACGTCCCGATCTGAAGAAGTGGCTAGTCAGGCGGGTAGAATGTATGCGGGGCAAAGTTGACGTGTGCGTCGAGGTCTTCCCTGCTTTCAACTACGCGCAGGACAAGCATACAACCGAGATTGTCGATATGGGCAAGACTGGCCAAGGACGTTGCCTGCAACGTGTCACCTTCAAATCAAAAGACCTCTCCCTGGAGCTCAACGCAACGATCGATTGTGGGGATGAACCCGACGGCGTTTGCCCAAGAGTGGTTTTTGAGAAGTCACCGGAGCCACAAGACCTGGGCGACGGTGTCACGGCCGCTTTCACTTTGAACGAAGGTCAAGCCGTATCCTTCATACTGCGCGACGCGGAAGATCACAGCCCAGATGTAATTGAGACTGAACAGGTTCAAGAGCTACAGACCAACACCCAAATGTACTGGGCCAGGTGGATAGAGCAGAGCAAGTATAAAGGCCGATGGGAAGAGGTGGTTACGCGGAGTCTGCTGATTCTCAAGATGCTGACCTTCGAGCCAAGCGGAGCAATCGTTGCTGCACCGACTTTCTCTCTGCCCGAGGACTTTGGTGGATCGCGAAACTGGGACTACCGCTACTCCTGGGTGCGCGATGCGTCGTTCACCATCTACACCTTTCTCCGGATGGGTATTAGCCATGAAGCTGAAGCCTACATAAGCTACATCTTCCAACGTGTCAAAGAGGCCAAAGCGCGGCAAGGAGCTTTGCCAATCATGATGACCATCTGGGGCGGCACAGACATTCCAGAGCTCGAACTACCCCACTTGGAGGGATACAGGGCTAGCCAACCGGTGCGGATCGGCAATGGCGCGGCTTTCCATGTACAGCTTGACATTTACGGGGAGTTGATGGATGGCATCTACCTCGTGAATAGGTTCTCGCGTCCCATCTCATATGATCAGTGGCTCCTTATCCGACATATCGCGGACTACGTATGTACTGTCTGGAAAGAGCCCGACATGTCGATCTGGGAAGTCCGCGGCAAGAAGCAGAACTTTGTGTACAGCAAGATGATGCTGTGGGTAGCCCTGGATCGGGCATTGCGCCTGGCAGACAAGAGGAGCTTCCCATGTCCGCATCGAGCCGAGTGGTACAGGGTCCGCGATGAGATCTACGAGGAAGTCATGGAGAAGGGCTACAACACCGACATGGAGTGCTTCATCCAGAGCTACGAGTCGAATGATATCCTGGATTCGGCGGTCTTGATTGCGCCTCTGGTCTTCTTCATATCTCCGACTGATCCGCGCTTCCTCAAGACTCTCGACCGCATACTCAAGGCTCCTGAGAAGGGCGGGCTGACGAGTACCGGTTTGGTGTACAGGTACAATCACGCCCTGAGCGACGATGGCGTGGGTGGGCAAGAAGGCGCTTTTAGCATGTGCACGTTTTGGCTCGTCGAGGCGTTGACAAGGGTAAGCGGTCTGCGTTGCAACACAAAGTTTTGCTTTTTACTGACATCACAGGCTGGCGCGTACAACGAGAAGTACCTGTTACAGGCGGTAACTATCTTCGAAAACATGCTAAGTTTCGGAAATCATTTGCACATCTTCTCGGAGGAGATTGCGCGCTCGGGGGAGCAGTTGGGCAACACACCACAGGCGTTCAGCCATCTGGCGGTGATCTCAGCGGCCTTCAACCTGGACAAGACGTTGACTTTGCGACGCAAGTAGAGTGGCATGGAGGGTGGTAGCGATAGATGGCAATGCAAACCAGACGCTGAAACGTGCATGCATGTTCTAGATGGGCGCGCTAATCTAACGCACAGGGACGATCAGCAGCTAGCACGTCATGGCTTGCATCGTTCGACAGCCGGAAATCGATCTAATGTCGCTAGCTGGAGGATGCCGTACTCTTGGAAGGAATGTGTGGCGCCGGCTACCAACCGCCCCTGGCGCACTGACTGGGCAATCTCCCACGCTGAGCCGCGCAACTTTCAAGGCTTTCCTGCCCTTTGCACCTCTGGACAACGCACCCCAACCCATCGCCAGCGGGCCATGACATAGCACCCCCATAATATCTTCCTTCACTCTCTATAATTCCACATTCGCTCTCTTCTCGGCCTCTTTTTCGCGTCGTCCACGTACCTCACCCGTGCCGTCATCATCAACTGCCCACCACCTACGCGTCGCAATCCGCACTTCACTCTCACCACCCGCCATCATGTCGCTTTCATCTACCTCCTCCGCTTCCTCCTCCTACAGCGTAACGAACCTTTCCGTTATTGATGAAAAGCTCGAGATGCCACCTCCGCCCACAGA